CAATACATTTTCAATACACCAAACCCTTTAATGTTCTGAACGCGCAAAATACTTGGAATGAAGAGTTAATCATTATTGTACAGATAAAAGCAGGCAGGGTATATTCAAATGAAGAACGTTTCATTTTGGGAGAGTTTTGTAATTGGTTACCCTCCAAAAAGTAACTTTTGGAAGAGGGGTGGGGTGGGGACGTTTTTTTGGTGATGTGGCATGACAAAGGAACAGCTTGTCGAGCAACAGTCACGAAGTGACTTTCTTAGCCCTAGGTGGGAAGGGTGGGGACGTTTTTGGTGATGTGGCATGAAAAAAGAACAGCTCATCGAGCAACATCCAGTGACTTTCTCAGCCCGTGGGGGGAAGGGATCATTGAAAGATTTAGTGCGCCGACCCAGACCTTATTTATTTGCTTCATGAACTTGAACTCCCTTCTTTTTTCTATATTCATTTAGATTTATTCACTACAAAAATCACAGTTGAAATACAAAAGAACACCATCGATTACATGTGATAAACAACAGGAAGCCCAAGTGTTTTTGTGTTTGTGGATATAATAACATTGAAAGGTTATATTTATAGTCAAGGACACTATAATGCATTTATAAGTAGTTATATCATTTATGTCTTCATTTAGCGTCCCTATATCTGACRCATGGTGACAAGAGGACACTATTAAAACAGGCTATACAATAATCATTACACATGGTCTACTAAATTTTGACGTATCTCTCATGCACCGAACGGCATCAGAAACCTTCCTAGTTTCTTTTAACGGTTTCAAAATAAGATAGAATAAAATGCTGATTATATAACTGGCAAAAAAACGATAAAAATCCATTATTACGTATTGCTACTCTACTATCAAGCTAGACTGTAAACGAACTTGCTGAAAATTAGCGAACAAGGTTTAGTTACCATGTAACAACCATGTGACAACCTCAATTGACTCTTTGTATGCGTTGAACGTGGTCAATCTCYCTCGCCAGCTGACACAAGGCGCAAAGAGCGCAGAATTCAACCGTCAAGTAGTCATTGCACAGTGATCCCTAACGAATGAATGTATATAAAAATCATATACGAATTAATAAACCTCTTTGAGCAGTTAGGTAACGCTGAACAAGGATTTTGAGAATCCGCAATAGCCCGGGGGGTACTACCCCCCCAACTTGGGTAGGGGTGTGCCGCCAGGACCTCAAAACCCTGACCCTATCCCAGACCTAAAATTTTGATTTTACATACCCTACCCCAGACTAAAACTAAGAATTGTACACCCCATCCCAGACTAATAGAGGGAAAAGACGGCTATTCAATAGATTGCAATCAATATTTATTGACGTTTTTATTGTTTTTGTGCCGTCAAAAAGCGTAGCCTATTCGCCAGACAAAAACGACCAAATCGTTAACCCTATCCCAGACAAAAATGATACCCTATCACAGACAAAATGTCCAGAAATGATACCCTACCCCAGACCCAAAAGCCGAAAAAATATACCCTATAGGGCGGCACATACCCGTATAGCAAATATAGGAGAGAATCCCCCCCCGGGGCAATAGAGGTTTTACACAGATCATTTTTACATTCATACCTTGATGTTTTGTTCAGCTCTGAATTTTATCCTGAGGCTAAGAAGAGGAAAGGGGCAACAACAGACGAAGCATCTGCCCTCTCCTAGACGTTGAGAAAGGTCACACAA